GAAAGAAATGCAAGGATCTAAAAGCAATAATGAAAAATGAAGCAACCCCCTCCGTAGATGATGACCATGAACCTGGCATTAAAGGGAGGTGTGTATTTTCAGTTAATAAGAACGCAAGAAGAACCCTTGAAGAATAAGTTTAGTTTTCCAACAGCTACATTTGAGGAGCTCATAAGCCTGGATGAGAAGTCAAGAGTCCTGTTTTAATTGCTTCCTCTTAACCAATATTTAAGGCCTGCTGCCTGAAATTCCAGAGGAAGTAAGCACCCATAAATTCTGTTTATTTGCATGGCTTTCTACACTGCCCAGATCTCAAGATTTCAGGCAATTTACAAAAAGGTTAAAAGCAAAATGTACTGTATATAACAACAACAAAAAAATTTAAAAGGCATCCCAAAGCCATACAATCACATAACCATACTAAAAATTGCCATCAAATGCCCACAGGTCAAAACAATTTTCATGGCTCTGCAGAAAACAAAATGAGGATGCTTGGCACACCTCTGGAAGTGTTGCAAGCAAGGGGACAATCCAGAGAATTATTGCCTTTAGGGGTGTGTTCTTTTGAACTTTTGTGGGACATGATCCTAAGCATCCCTTCTCTGCTTGCACATGACTGGGCAGATTCCACCAGGAAGAAACAATCCCTTAAGGAGCCTGGAACTAGGTTCTCTGTTGTCTTCAAAGGCAACCCCTGTAGAATTGCATTATAATAATCAAAGCAAGTGGTGATGGGTAAGTCACTTTCACCAGAACTTCACAGTCCACACAGTGCTGAAACTATGCCTAATATCTAACTTATGCACCACCTAATCAACTTAGATGAAGGCCACTCAGATCATGGTTTGTACCTCCTGTACCTCTTGAAGTATGGATCTGGGAAGATCTCCAGCTACAGACGTGTTTCTTCAGAAGGATGTGACCCCATCTAGAACAGTTACAAGGGCTGTCAATGAGCCAAGATGTTTCTGGACAAACAGTAACTCTCTCTTGTTGGAATTCAGCCTAAGTTTGCTTTTGCCCATCCAGACCTTCACAGCCTGCAGACACAGTTAGGATTTCCATAGCATCTCCAACCCAACTTGATGCAGTCATGTATAGTCGAATATCATCATCATACCAATGATTTCTCTTCCTAAACTGATCCTCCATGAACTTGCCCAAACTCCTTTTTAAACCACTCCAATTGATTTTTAGTTCCACAGATGTTGACAGTAAATTCCAGAGTTTATCTACATTCTCTGTAAAAAGCATCTTCTGTCAATTCTGAATTTCAATATGGGAGGATCTTGAGTTCTACTTTCGTGAAAAAGAGAAAAAGATAACTCTTCCCATTCTACTAATGCCATTTATGTCTTTATATGCCATCTTTCTCTCTCTCTCTGCACTTTTATTTATCCCTTGCCTTACCCTCCTTCATTCCAAGCTAGAACTCCTATTCCTGCCGTCTTCCTTCATAGGAGGCGATTTGAGTTCTCTTATCATTATGCCAATAACCAGGACCTCCTTCCATTTTGCAGTATGATGGCCTGCTTCACACAACTTACTATGTTAAGAGCTGGGTTTCCCACAAGATTCTGAATCACAAGTTTCTCAGACCACATGTTAACCTAATGTAGCATGTTGTATGCACCCAGCCAATGTATCACTTAAGTTAAGCTCCTAACTGTTGCCTCTAGGGTGGGTGGTTTTGCTATGGGTAAGTGGCAGTATGGCTGCCTCTGGTAAAGAATGCACAGTAGGAACAGTTCTGGTAAGGAATGGCAGACTGTCCTCCCATCTCATGTTACAGCTTTGATTTTTCCAGGGCCCACAACCATCTGCTGTCTTCTTTAGCCCTGTCCGACACTGGCACAAAGCTTTCAAGCCTCCACTCTTAATTTAGCCTCCATCCTTGATTTAGCCTAATACCATCTATTCCTCCAACTACCATTGGATCCCTAGAGCATGGGTAAGCCACCTGCTGCCTTCTGGGTATCTGGAGCTCAAATACCACAATGGAAGTTCAAAACATCTGGAGGACATCATACATAATGTCTTTTCCAGCACTGTTAGTTGAAATCTATGGGATGAACGACTCTTTTGCG